GTTAACATCTTGCCACCGAGTATTGGCAGGGTAATATAAATCGAGTAGCAGCACTTGGTATTTTGCTTGGTTTAAATGTATTTCACATTGTTTAGTCAGGAGCCAGCTCCATTACAAGCTCGGCTTGTGTCCCAAAAGCATTGGAGTCAGCTGGAGATGACACTGATGTAATCACGCTCCGCGGGGGTAGATGTCAACCAGGCGATTCCAAGAGACCACACGTGGATGCGCTTGTCAGATAAATGTAGTTATCATTAACTCTGCATTGATGTAATAGATTCCATTTAATAACGTAAAAAAATCGCAGCGCTCACCTGGGAGATGTACAATGACACTAGATGCATTAGCTTAGCATCAAGAAGGCAGAGCTAATGTGTACATATATTTATACCCTCGCAACACAGGCGTGTTCCCAGAATCAATAACGCGCAGCAATAACTTCATTCCATAAGATTGGCGGAGTTGCTTGAAAATAACACGATTACCCCGTCACGATAACGTACGAGGAACCGGGAATTTTAATTCACCACTGGAGCGGAAAAAAGCAGAATTTGGGGGTTTGGAAGAATCCATCAGCTCAACAAGGTGCGTTGGTGAAAGGGCCATTCCAACACTTTGATTTACGGCCAATAATAACAAGTCAGAAATGAATGCTTACGGCACACGGGAACACCGCGATGCTCGCCAAGTAGCGCCGTTACACGTTGCCCTCTCTTCTTATTCTCACGTCTGGATAAAGAGCGGCGCAGCGATAATTTCGACTTAATTGTAAACGTCGCGAGTGATTTGCGCAGCGCACCGCGAGGCCAAAGGAGTTAGAATAACCGACGAGGCGTTGGTCGTAAAAGCGTGCGTTCAATTGGGGGGCGGGGCAACAGCGCGGGGGGTGGCGAATCATCCGGAATGTACGGATGTTGAACTTCTTTCGCACCATACTCAATCGGAGGTGTGGGGCGGGGGGGACAAACAAACTAACACGAAAATCAGTTCTCAGAATGAGTTTTCAATGTAGACGATTTAAAAGCGCATAGCTCCAGCGGCTTCCTAATATCGGAAGGAAGCGCCGAGTTCCAGACGGAATCGGTGATCATCTTTGTTCGACGGCTTGCACAGAAGCCACCGCCGCCGCTGCGAAGAATGGCAGCTTGAGCGACAAGGGAGAGAGAAGCGAGAGGATTGAGGAGGGCCCGAAGACTCCCCCCGGTTGCTTCGGTGTCACTCGGCCGCTCGCAAGACGCCACGGGGACGACCCCTGGCTAGACGCCCCTTGGCGGTCACTGACGCCGCCGGCACCTTTACCTTTGGGAGCACGCGGGAAATAGACGGGCATGAGGGTGTCGTAGAGCTCCACGTCGATCGGCAGGAAGAGGCAGAAGATGATTCTGTCCACCTGGATCGATTCGCGCAGCGACGGCAAGAGAGTTAAATGTTTTAACACGTACAGACATCCGAGGATTCAATACATCTGTGTGTATATGTATAAAGACAAAGATCCCCCCCCCATATAGCCTTTAACAGACTGTTTGGGCAAGTTATTTTAGCGATCACGAATTAAGGCCGAAACGGTACACGAGGGGGTGGGTGGCCCACACCAAGCATTCGTCTCCCCAGTGGCTCATTTAAGGCTAAGTCAACCTAGGGGAGGCTAATGACCAGTGCAGATAATCGTCACTGGTTGGCCTTGAGTGGGAATCTAACTCAGGTCGTCGGGTTCGTAGCACGGCGCGCCAACCTCTGCACTACCACTCCCCATATAATATATATCAACACGATCGTCAATATACAATACAGGGAGTTTTGATGCTTATATTGCGAATGTGTTCATACTAACTGCGACATATCTCAGCTGAGAAAAGGAAGTCACAATAATAGGATTGTCAGTTCAAATTCATTGTCATGGCCACCATCGTTATCATCATCATCATCATCATTCCTTTCAGGATAATTTGCACCACTTGCCGAGAAGTCAATAGCAGTTGTCTTGAGGACGAGACAACCCCTGCCATAGCAATGTGTAATTTCCATCACTCGCTGCAGAACACCAAAGGGTAGGCCACGCAAAACGGTTTTGAATGTTTTGCAGTAAGATAAATAGAGACATATATTGTGGGCCAAGCTCTGAATCCAATATTTACTCGAATAAAGTAATAACGCTCGGTTTAGATACAATTTGCTCTGCATATACTTGTAGTGCGCAATCACATTTTGATTTATAATCCATGAAGCTGCATCTCACGATAAACACGCGTAATTTAAATGTACAGCGCACACAAACACGTGTAACATTAAGCTTGCGTACATATTAAAAAATGCATATGTCGAACCACACATTTTAATGTATAAATGCAGTTACGCATGCATGTGTACATACACATGCATTTACGTATGCATGTGTACATACACATGAAGAGTGTACGATACCCTATCATTTTAAAACCTCCATATCGTGTTATTTCCACGACAGCGGGCGTGGCGAAACGCGAAATTGAGCCTTGACCTTGCTGTGGTATTTCTCGAGCCAGTTTCTGGTCGTCTCCAACGCGATCCTGGCCGCCGGCTCGTTGGGGAAACCTGAAAAGGCACGAAGACGATTCCGTCGAGCCGCGCCGTCGTTTCGCCAGACGCCAGATCGTTTTCGTGAAAAACTATTTGGTTTATCGTGAAAAGCAAAGAGCCACGGGCGAGTACAGAGCGAGCCTCCTTAATTTTTTGTTCGCGTTAATTGCAAAGTAAATTTCACCCCAAGCTGTTTCGGGGGGCGATCGATGGCTAGTCGAAACGACCGATGCGTGTACATGGACATCTCTGAAACAGAGCTTGATAAGATCATCGGATTCGTAGCTCATCGGATCCATGTCACTTATGGTGAAGAACCCATTGATAGTAATATGAACAATAAAACGAATTATTAAAAAAGGACTCATGCAGTTGTTTTCCAGATTATAGAGCACATGCAATGGCAGTGTGGGTGTTAAAGATTTAATTAATTGCTATTTATTTTCATTTCTTGCTTACCTATTCGGTAAAGCACATTGAAGAAATAATTATAATTGTATTGTCTAGCAATTAGCCATTTACATTTAATTGGAAGGCTTGCCAATAGGTTACGTGTTGCCATTTGACACCTAAACCAGTCGCAATTAGAGAAGCGTTTTTATATTGTTGGTTCTTTCGGTAAAGTCACGTAGAAGGGAAATAATAAAATAATAAAAATAATCTTGTTTTATAATTTATTATTTTATTTTTTCCATTCTACGTGACTTTACCGAAAGAACCAAGAATATGAATCCCTGCAGTCACGAAAGCTTTAAATCAGAAGCGTTTTTGCAAATATTTTTTGGTGAGTGTCATCCGAAGATAAATTTACTACCAAGTCCTCGTCAAGTTGCGCGTCGTCGCTTCAAGAAGTTCTCTGTTTGTTGCGGTTGCACCCGACTCAAGAGCCGCATGGCTCACAGGGCTAGACCTAATAAATGAAACTTGAACTTGAAAGTCAAGTTGATTTTGTGTAACCAGGTGAGATCTAAAGGGACCAGGATAGGAGTCTCATTTGCAAGAGTCATCTGAGTGACCAACATGACATCAATGAAACAAACATAAATCAGCCTAAAAAACGACCATGTCATGTGAGAAATGTAAAATATTGCACGAACATAAATCAGCGTTAAATAATATATTCCCCGGTAGCACAAGTCAGCTCGGGACAATTATTCCTAGACTGATCAACGCAACAATTGCAATTAAAGTTACACAAACATTAAACAGACGTAGGGCGACGACCGTGCTAATACGTAAACCACACGAGCACATTTGTCAAACGGGACAGCGCGTGCTCTCAGGGCAGTGACCCAATACCCTCCCTGATGGGTGCGGGAGGTGAGTACGGCCGAGTCAAGAGTGTTCCCAGGTAAAGCTGCACAACGAGGAGAATGGTGGGGGGGGGGGGAGAGTGAATAGTGGCACGGGAAGACGCGCCGAATCGAAAATCGATTCCCCCCAACACACCTGGGGGCACGCGGATCTGCTCTAAGCAGGGCTGTGGCGGGTGATGGGTGCGTGCGTCAGCGTGTTGTGCACGGCGAGACACGCGCAAGGGCGGGCGGGCGTGCTTCAGTCCAGCTCTCCTGCTCTCCTCACTCGGCCACGACGGAGCGGCTTCATTGTAACACCAGCGATGATTATCTGCATCGGTCCTGGGCCTCCCCGAGGTCAACTCAGCCTCAAATAAGTGCCTCGTGCGGTGTGTAAACATCACCGCAAGAGAGGGCGTGGTGCTCGCCACCCACATCCCGCCGTGCCGTGCCGTGGCGTGCCGGCCTTCATTAAAATTATTAAAAACTATGAAGCTATTTTTATTTTACCAGGTCAGGCCCGCCGAGCAATATAGCTCTTGTTCAGAAATGCCCCCGGAGAACGTTGGCCAAGAGCGATCGTGAGCAGAGTGGTTTGATGGAAACCAAAACGTAAATAAGACGACACAAAAAAAGACACTAAGGTAAATACATAGCATCTAAACCGAGGGCTACTGTTCAAAGTAGACTTGGATGAAAATGACGAAATGACGAGGCGAGAGTGCGCGTTTGTAAACACTGAACACTCGACGACGAGCTACGTGCCAATGAACCTGGACGAGGAAAGTGTTCAATCGGGGCGAATAAAATCTGCTCTGAGGTATGGGATTGGACACATGGACGCAGGAGGATGAAATCAAATAGTCAAAACGCTGCACCACGAGAGGCAGAGAGAGATGCGTGCTTGAAAGTGCAATGAGCTCATGAAAATCACAAGGATCGGAGGTTGAAAACAAAGAATTAGACGAGACACCACCGGCTTGAGACACCGCTGACAATGAGACACCACTGACGATGAGTGCAAGCGAACTTGGGCAGGACACATCGCTCGATGAGACGATGGCCGAGGGGGACAAGGCCGGCGATGGCATGGCAGTCGAAGCAGGGAAGACACGCGCCGTCCGGGAGGGCGACCCCGTCTTCGCGACAAGAGTCATGAGATCAGCTGACGTGCAGGAGCGAGAAGGAACCGTGGGGGGTGGGAGGCCTTTGTCCAGCAGCGTATAAAGCATGGCTCATGTGGATGGTAATGTTCTGCTCAGCAGGTTGACACCACAACAGCTGCTCAAAACGTGCTGCCGGCAACGGCTCTATCCGGTGTTCAGGCCGCGTGGGTTTAGGGGACACGGCGCGCCGACAGCTTGGCCAGCCACTCAACGGGGGACCGCGCGTGCGACAAGCACCGGGTGTACCCGCACAAGGACTTCTGCGAGTACAAAAAGAGGGAGAGGAAAAAAAACTATTCCAAATCACCATATCTAATAACGCTCTGGGACATTGTGGTGATTTTCCTCTCTCCGCTCCCTTATTCGCCCCGCCACCCATTACAAAGCATGAAAAATGATAGTCTCTGTTTATGTCTGAATACATTAATAGAGCCTACACCGGCAAATAAGAGAAACGAGCTTAAAACCCCCAGCAAAGTTCACACCATATGAAGTCTAAATAAGCAACGTTCGCAACCCAAAATTTATTTCAAAAAGTAGTTGCCAAAGTTCACCAAATAACTCTTTACAAAAGACTTGACGGGCTATGGTTAATGCTACTAATTACGCTTCGGTTCAAACTACATGTTCTGGCACAGTGCGGGCAAGTAGAGTGATCTGCGTGTGTGTGTGTGTACGTATGTGTGTGTGTGGACGTACGTGTGTAGACGTGTGTGTGTGGACGTACGTGTGCGTGGACGTGTGTGTGTGGTGTGCATGGGGGACACTGACTCCTGTGTTCACGTAACCCACGGCACATCCCTCCCCTCCCACCCATCCCCCAAAGTCAATCGCGCGGCACTTCAATTCTGATATTTAGACAAACCGCATGTGCTCATGACAAAGCAAATTTCTCCACATTATAAAATCCCCAGGATAGTTAGATGCGCCGCCGCAAACTTGTACCCGGTGTCAATCAACGACATGCAGATTTGGTCTCATAACACAAAGATCACCCGTGTACAGCCTGAAACGGACTGCAGGGGCAAGTGCTCTCAGCGAGCAGCACCTATGAAGGCCAGCCACGGCACACGAGGTGGTGGTGTGGACAACGCGCACGGCCGCCTTTGGTCTCACACACGCAGCTGCCCGATTAAATTACTGCACACCCTCAACTTGTGGTTCTAAAATACAATGAGAAACAGAAGGGCGTCTTATAATCGGGAGAATACGGTAAATGTTAAATGCGTTGGTGATTAAACAAAGTCGTTGATTGGCAGTGCACGTGAGCTAATGCCACACAAGCCACGGAGAATACAATCAAACGCACGAAATGTTAAAAGGTGGCCAGGCTGCCATGAATCATGGGAAATGCCCTCAGCTCTATGCAAGCTTTGCCAGAGAGCCGTACAAGCAAGCACCTTGGTCATACGAGGTTGCTTTGCACATCACATATATGGAAAGCGACCGGGCAAAAATTCCACAGCGAGTTTCACAGAAGTGATTAAAAACAGCAATTTTAAACCGGCTTCATCATTATCAGGGCGAAACGCCGCTACCCTGCATGACAAAGTGTGCACATCGATGGAAAGCAGAACCGCTCTCACTACAAACGGCCGGCGTCGTTATCACAAAGCTGACGGAATGTAAATCGTGGTTAAACCTTGATTTGAAGCTTTCGTGACTGCAGGAATCCATACTCTTTGGTTATTTCGGTAAAGTCACGTCGTGATCTATTAAATTTTCTATTTACGTGACTTTACCGAAAGAATCAAAGAGTACGGTTAAACCGATTAACATGTTCCATTCCCTGATTAGACTCCCATTTTTTTTTAAGTATTGCAGCACTCGTGAGTGTAATGATGACAGTTTAATTTTCCCAGGTAAGCCTCAATGAATGAATGTGCCGGACAGGTGTGTGATTATTTTTACTTGGCGACTTCCACGCATACTTTTTTACGTGTGCGGGGTAACAGAAGAGGCTGGAGAAAACCCACAAACATGCGTGGAATGGGTGAGAAACCTATCTGCTTTACTGCCTCTTCCAGGCATCTCATTGCCCTCACAGGTATGCGTTATTGTGAGCCCATCATCTCTTCACACGTGCGATTCGCCAATTCCCCGTGTGAGCTGCACAGGTGTGCGTGGCTTCCGTGAGATTATGAGTTACTCAGGCTACGGAGCGCCCACAACACAACATCGGTGAAGAATCAGTAAGCTGTCGACTCTTCACAATAACGTCTTGTGCATCTTCTTGGTTCTTTCGGTAAAGTCACGTAGAAGGGAAATAATAAAATTAATAAAAATAAAACATCATAAAATACAATTCTCACGACGTTTCGGCCACAACGCAAGCAGCCATCCTCAGGTGAAGAACAGGGCTGTCGGAAAGACAGACCTGTCATTCAGACGCTGTCTTTCCGACAGCCCTGTTCTTCACCTGAGGACCTGTTTTTCACCTGAGGCCCTGTTCTTCACCTGAGGATGGCTGCTTGCGTTGTGGCCGAAACGTCGTGAGAATGATTTCATTATGTTGTATTTTTATTATTTTATTATTTCCCTTCTACGTGACTTT